CTGCCAGCTTGCGCTCGATCTCTGCCTTGATCTGGTTGAACTCCAGCTGGGCCCGGAGGATCTTGCCCTCCTCGTGCTCCAGGGAGGCCTAGAGGATGGGAAGAAGGGGTCAGGGCAGACAGTCATGGAACAGGGCAGGGTGTCAGAGGGAGGCTGAGAGGATGCAGGTCAGCCAGGACTAAAGCCCTGAAAAGCAGAGCTGGGAGGAGATGGGGAGTTGGGACCTGCACCCATACCCGTCAAGGTGCTGCAGGGGAGGCAGAGTTAGACTCCCTGGGCTTCCTCTGTCAAGGAAAGGGTTTGGACCCTTCAGCACTAACATTGTATAAGGTCTTGACCCATCTAAAATATTATAGAAAAAGGAAAGATCTTTAGAACCACAAATTCAAAATTTTATATTTGTTCCCTACGTCTCTCACCTTTTTGTTAGAGAAGTTAGAAGCCCCCAAATTCAGGGCTGTTCTCAGGTGCTTAAAAATAAACAGTAACGATAACTAGCATGTATTAAGTGCTTAATGATGTGTTACCTCATTCGATCTTCATAATAATCATGCACAAAATCTTATGAGGTATATAAAATTAATTTCATTTTACAGATGAGAAAAATGAGGCAGAAAGAGGTAGAGGATCTCGCTAATGACACATTGAAGGTCCTCAAGTTGAGTTTCAAACTCAGGTCTGTTTGACCTGGAAGCCGACACTCCTACCCACTGTCTGAGAAGTTATTAATATAAGGGCTGGATTCTGACTTTAAAAACCTGGTGTGAGGGCTTGGCACCTAGTGCCAGCCACATACACCGGAGCTGGCGGGTTCAAACCCAGCCCAGTCCTGCCAAACAGCAATGACAACTATAACCAAAAAACAGCGGGGTGTTGTGGTGGGCGCCTATAGTCCCAGCTGTAGTCCCAGCTACTTGGGAGGCTGAGGCAAGAGAATCACTTAAGCCCATGAGTTGGAGGTTGCTGTGAGCTGTGACGCCACAGCACTCTACCGAGGGCGACATAGTGAGACTCAGTCTCAAAAAAAAAAAAAAAACACACAAAAACCTGGTGGTATGGGAAGAACCTTCTAGCCTATAGCCAGGCTGTGACATTTTCCTTTTCTCAGACCTTGGCTTTAGATGTAGTCATGGGTAATGGGTTGATGATCTTGGATGACAAAGAATACAGAACTAATAGATTTCATCTTGGGGTTGGGACCATGCCCAGTTGAGGGTGTCAGTGGTAGACTTGGGAGGATGCTGGGGGCGCCAGGTCCTCACCTCAGCCTCTTCCAGGGCAGACTGCAGCTCCAGCTTCTCTGCCTCCAGCTGTTTGCGGACCTTCTCCAGCTCATGCACATTCTTTCCTCCTTCTCCCAGCTGCTCAGTCAGGTCTGAGATTTCCTCTGGATATCAGAGGGCCAGATGCTCAAAGCCTGTATCTTCCCTGCCCCAACATGGGCCTCCCTGCCACCAGCCCTCCCTGGCCTCTCAGGCCCCCTGCACACCCTGAAGGTTCTTGTTCTCCCGCTTGAAGGTCTCCAGGTGCTCCAGGGACTCCTCATAGGCATTCTTGAGCTTGAAGAGCTCGGTACTGAGGGAGCGCGCCTCCTTCTGTGAGGACTCCAGCTCTGACTGTGACTCTTCATATTTCTGCTTCCACTCGGCCAGGATCTGCCGGAGGACCAGGCTCACTGTGTAGCAGCCCCAGCCCCAGCCCCTCCTCTAGGGGCTGTCCCAGGCGCCTCTCATGCCCCTGGGGCACAGCCCTCCTCCTCCAACCCAAGAGGACAGCTCTGGCCTCCCCACAAGCCCTGCACACTGGCTACAGCCCCCACCCATGGTCCACCTTGTCGAAGTTCCTCTGTTTCTTGTCCAGGGCTGCAGCGGCGGCGTTGGAGCGCTCCACGTCCACCATGAGGTCCTCGATCTCATTCTGCAGCCGGTGCTTGGTTTTCTCCAGCGATGAGCACTTGGCATTGACAGCCTCTACAGCCTCCTCGGCATCCTGGAGCCTCTGTGCCAGCTTCTTCCTGCCCAGGGTGGGTGGGAAGTGTGTGTGACTCTACTTGGCAGCAGTGGGGGCTTGGGTTGACCCCCTTCTCCCTCAGCTGCCAACTGGGAAGACCCATCTCCTCCCCATAACCCCTTGGTACACTAGAAGCCCAGCCCTGAAGGGGCTAAGGCTGCTAGTCCTAGAACAGAGTCCACCAGCATCAGCTGCCCAGGCATCCTCACTGCATGCAGTGGCATCAGGATGGCAGAGCCCCCTGCTCTCCCACGCAAGGCTGATCGATGGTAGCTCCTCTGACCAACAAGCTTTTTGCTCGTCTTATACGTGAGCATCAGGTATAACCCGGGCCAAAAGCTCGCCTGTCACAGGAAGTGGGTTGGGGCCAGCCAGGGTTCACAGAGTGCAGGATCCAGGCTCACTTTCAGTATATCTGTTGCCTACCATGTCTCTCCCACTGCTTCCCATGACAGCTTTGCTTGTCCCCACCCCAGGTCCTCTTGTTCCTTCTTTTCTTAGAATTGGTATGGGCCCATGTGGAGCTCACTTGGCCTCCTCAAGCTCCTCGGTCCTCTGGATAGCATCCGTCTCATACTTGGTCCTCCACTGGGCCACCTCTGAGTTGGCCTTGGATAGGACACGCTGTAGCTCAGCCTTGGCTTCCGTTTCCTCCTCGTACTGCTCTCGTAGCAGGTCGCAGTCATGCCGGGCTGACTGCAGTGCATGGGCCAGGGCGTTCTTTGCCTGGGGGGAAGTGGACACCAAGAGGTAGGAGGGAATCCCTGCCCTCTCCATTATCTAGATCCCCCTTACAAGTAAGGAAAGAGGCATTAAATAACTTTTCAGTGCCACTTAGCTGCAGAGTAGAAGAACCTAATTTAGAGGGTCTTTCCCTTTGAGGCCTCTTTCCAGCTCCAGGCCCCATGTCTGTCCAGTTCACTGATCCAGGGATGCCATGGAGCCCAAACCACTGCCCCCAGCTGGGCCTCACCTTAAGCTCCTCCTCCAGCTGCCTCTTGAGGTCTTCCAGCTGCTGAGTGTAGGAGAGCTTCCCTCGGGTCAGCTGGGAGATCAGTGCCTCCTTTTCCTCCAGTTGCCGAGATAGCTCTCCTGGGGATAGAATGAGGGGCTCACAGACTCTGGAAGGAGCAATTGATGCCCTACTAGGCAGGCAAGGGCTGGGTAGGGGCACCCACCATTTTCAGTCTGCAGCTTGGCCTGCTGGGTGGTGAAGTCATGGAGGGAGCGTTGGGCCTCTTCCAGCTTCAGGCGGTACTCATTGGCCTGGTCTTCCAGTGTCCGAGATACCTTCTCCAGGTTTGCCTTCAGGCAGCAAGGAACATGGAAGGGTGAGTATGGGAGGAAGGAAGAGATACTGAGGTGGGGAGGCCACAGAGGGCAGGTGGGTGACCGGGCAGGAGGGTGCAGTCCCAGGCGGGATGTGAATTAAAGAAGGCAGGAAGGCGATAGATGTGAGTGAGGGCCAGGGAGAGGGCAAGGTAGAGAGAAAGAGTGACCAAGCAGTGATGAAGGGAGTGAGAATGACAAGGGAGAAGGCAGGTAGGGAGAGAAAGTGCCTGGAAGGTATAGCTGGGTGGAGGAAGAGGACAAGGGGAGGCTGAGCAGAGCCCACCTTGGCCTTGATGATCTGCTCCATGTTGGAGGTGACATCATCCAGCTCCAACTTGAACTCACTCTTCTCCTTTTCCAGCTTCTGCTTCACCCGCTGCAGGTTGTCGATCTGCTCGCCCAGCTCCGCCACGCTGTCAGCGTGCTTCTTGCGCAGGGCAGAGGCCGTGGCCTCATGCTGCAGCGTGGCCTCCTCTAGGTCCCTCCGCATCTTTTGGAACTCGGCCTCACGCTTCTTGTTCATCTCGATCTGCACGGATGT